GGCCGCTCCAATTAAATGACATGGTATATCATGACATTGATTTGGTTTAAATTATTCAGTAATTTAAGTATATTCATATCTTTTTAAATGCAGTATATTTGATGGGTATAGAAAGCGATATCCTTGAAAGACCAATTTTAGTGCACGGTTCATATAAAAATTTGGCCAGAAGGAAGGTATGTTTTTAAGAACTTACTGAAAATAATTGTAAAAGTATTTGTAGACATTGATTCTACTGATTATGGAAAAGTACAACACCAAGAGACTCTCTATTGTTTCCTGCCTTATTTCTAAGGCTCATCATGGCATGATTGTAATTTACTGACAATGATAATTTGGGCAATGATCATCTTTAAAATATAACTAACATTTGTAAAGTACAAATAATGAAATCAGCAATAAATCTAGATCTGTGCCTGTGAAATTGATTGGCAGAGTAAGACTAAAATCTAAGTTGCAGCATATCTCAGGAGCACTCGTCAGACTCAGAGCTCCATCGCCGTTTTTCGGCGCTTATCTCCTGCTCGGGACCCCGTGTCTCCGGCTCCGGTTTTCAGCAATCATCTCCGGCTCCGGGACTCCGGTTTTTAGCACTCGGCTCCGGGACTCCGGTTTTTAGCACTCATCTCCGGCTCCGACTCCGGATCCGGCTCCGGGTTTTAGCAGCACCCCCCGCCTTTAAAACACGTGTTGCCTTCACATCAATATGACATCTCGGACTGAGTCTTTACCCGATGCTCTCCGGAAAGAGTCGAGTAGATTCCTATGAATATGCTACTAGTGTTGGTAGAAATCATCAAGACGTAGTCGGAGCCATAAAGAGTTTGGAGCCCTTTGGAGACGTAGGCTTTAGCACTTGATTTGCCGATTTGCACACGGTGTGGGGTCTTTGTTTCTCTTTTAGGTTATAAAGACAGAGCAGAAACAGACTGAATTGTGGGAGCTGGCCGAAGAAGGTAAAGAGATAGCTGAGAATGGTTCGCATGAGGTTAGACTTTTTGAAGCAGTTCATCAATCAACTGGAGCACCACAAAATGAACTAATGGTGAGAAAAGATCATGTACAGATTATATTTAATTATGAAATTGCCTGTTTAAAATACAAGCCTAGCAAGTGTTAGCTGAAACAAAATTGTTGTTATACAAAAAGCATAATATAACTAATAAATGTTCCTACATGTATAATGATAATTTTATGTGTACCTGTA